TCAACCTTCTGCCTCTCCTTGTTCATCCGCCCGTTTTCTCATTTCCTCGTCGCTAATCCGTCCTTCCGCTCGATTTCTACCTTTCCTTGTCGATGATAGCCAAAGCGTTGAGCTTTGTTACCTGTACCCTGGTTTTTTGTCCCCGGCACCATGTCTATAGCCGCCAGGTCTGAGCGTTGAGCTCTTTTTTGTCCTTCATCTATCATCGTCATTGGGCAGGAGAATCGTGGGATGGAAGGATCTGAGGATTTTATGGGACCCCAGGCTTCTCTCGGTACGTGTTGTTTTTCTTTATACGAGAATTCTGTCTCATCCCTTCTCTGTTACAGCCATTTGAATTCATGATAGGGAATATCTGTCTTTGGTGCGCTGCCTCATCTTTTGTCCAAACTTGTCTCATTTTGTATTTTCAACAGCGGCCACGCAACCTCCCACAGACCTCGGAGCGATGGGCTCTTTTTCGTCCTTCATCTATCATCGTCATTGGGCAGGAGATTCCTGTGATAGAAGGACTTTAGGATTTACGGGACCCCAGGCTTTTCTTGGTACGTGGTATTTTTTTTCTCTCTCTACACGAATGTTGTCTCATAGCTTCTCTATTACAGCCATTCGAATTTATGACATGCAGATGAGCTCAAGCTTCACGTTTACAAGCGGCAATGTCTTTTCTGGTGCGCTACCTCATCTTTTTCCAAACTTGTTGTCTCATTTTTGCTTTTCAACAGCGGCGACGAAACCTCAAACCGATGTCTTCACCTGGCACCCGTCTTCAGTCTAGACCCATGCTGACTTCTCACCATTCTGGTACGTCCTTGCATTGTACAGCATTGACGAGTTGTCTCAGCAGTCTCGGTTTCCTTCTTTTTCTTCAACTACATACCTCTATTGTATTCAATATATTCAATATATCTATTTATCTACCATATTACTGCCTACAAATGAGCCGGCAAGCCCAGGAAAGCCCCGAATATAGAAACCCGAGCCGCCGGAAAAGGTAAGGTCACATGCAAATGAACTTGGCCGGAGGCCATCTTTTCTGAGCCGTAGGCCTATCTCACTCAAAAATACCCATCGTACGGTCGGATCCAAAACCCCCGCCGGTTAGCCGCCCAACCGCCTCAGGATCAAACCTGCGCGGTTCACTTATTCCGGAGCGCAGCGCCTGCCCGTGTACACAAGTGTGAAACCTGTGATGGAATGATCGGCATGGAATTTTCCCGGAGGTTCCATCAATCACATCAGCACGTCGCCATATTTCCACGATAACAAATTTCTCCACAGGGGGTCAAGCTCTAAACTACTAAATCGACCACAGCTAGCGACTACAGTCGCACAATTCATGATCAAATCTTGAGCGTCCATGTGGATTTTTCTCGGCCCGTGGCCATGTGAAACATCTGGAATTGATGGTCCACGCCTTCCACCGATCGACCGTTTTGCTGATGCTTGTGGTCTGTGTTTCAGTTGGTTTTGGGGTTTCTACAGGGATTCGGCAGCGGCTAGAGTTCGACCAGTTGGGAATATTTCTAGCTCTTGCTTTTATCATCGCTGCTGCTTCTCGTGAACCTTTGGACTACTACTTACTCACTGGTCTTTGAGGCGGCGGCACCCGGCGGCCTGGTTCTCTCGATTCCCTGGTTTATTCCGTGGCATCGTTTGTCTCACGCTTTCAAACGCGATATTGAGCAGGACCCTGGACAATAGCCCAGGGGCCTGATCCTGTTGGCCATTTTTTGCCGATTCTTGTCCGGACGCCAAAATCGGCATTTTTGAGAATTTTGTCCGGATTTGGATCAGGCCTTTTACGAAAATCCAAAATTTGTCCGGACCGAGGGATCAGGGCTAAAAAAATCGCCAAAATCGCTGCTCGAGGCTTCAGATTTCCCGCTGAGAGAAACTACCTTATGTCATCATAAAATACAATTTTTTGAAAAAAGATTGCCTTGAGAGTGGATTGAACAGAGGACGTTTGGCGAAAACACAAATCAACTGAGCAATGTAGACCACTACACCATAATAACCGCGATATAGATCATCATCCATGAACCTATAATAGCTTGTCCGGACCGCTGGATCAAGCCTTGACCGCAGACGCAAATTTTGTCCGGACAGTCGCACCACCCATGTCCGGCTGAAACTCTCATTTTGTCCGGACTTGGACCACCCATATAATGCCAAAATCTCAAATTTTGTCCGGATTCCGGATCAGGCCTCTGGGCTATTGTCCAGGGTCCTTATTGAGCTGGCGCAAAAATCCGTTGTCATACGATCACGTCGCAGCGCCAAAAGAGACGAATTTCAGAAGGTAGCAAGGGGCGGTTTTTGCCTGTGTTTTTCCGTAACCTGAAGCAGATCAACCCCTTGGTAAGTGTCCAGAACATAGAGTAGTAGGTATGTATATAGGATATACCATACAAGGCTCTGAAGTAGACGTGATAGGTACTTGAGGGCCCACTGACGTATTTCAGTTGTCAGTATGATATACAGCTATCCGATCTATCCTGTGGAGGGAAGGTCCTGGAAAGCCGATCTGATTCATCAAAGATCCAAACTTGGTATTTCATCATTCGGGTTCCCGTTAGTGACGAATCTTGTCATTGCTGGAATCTCAGCTTAATATACTTCCTCCTTCCAAGGACCAAGAGCCTTGAAACTTGCTGCTTCAAGTCGCCCAAATCTACGGCGTTGCTGGGCCAGCACGCGGTGCGTTAACGTTTGGCCGGACAACATTGATGGTGGTTGTCAACCGACCAGATGGACTCGGCCTCCGAAGGGTTATAAAAGACGAGCCAATTCTGTCTGATCCCCCATTCAACTTCTACCAACGCCTTTTTGTCACGACTTCTTCCAAAACCAACCTTTTAACTTTTTTCAACTTTTAAACACTTCTTCACGATGAAGTTCAACTTGAGCACGGTCACAGCTATCACGCTCATGTCCTTGGCCTCTGTTCAGGCCTACGACGCCGACTTGGGCGTGCGAGACTCTGACAAGATTATCGTCGCACGTCGTACTTTTCCTCGATCTTCCTTGTGGAGAGTGAGTCTTTCAGGATCAATTCTGGAATCTGAAAATACTCATCGCATAACCTCCCAGCGGACAGAGATTGGCGTCTGCAGCAGGAGCGGCTTGTGCATGTTACAAACCCCCGGTAGCACCTGTCCGTCTGAAGATTGCAGAGTCAAGAGAGGACAGTTCGTTCCCGAAGAGACAACGTGCTGCTGCGACACGGCGAAGATCACAACGCCGAAGCCGAAGAAAACGATGGGAAAGGGTACTCCCGGGAAGCGAGAAACTGACGGGTCAGTCAAGGGGAAGGAAAAGGCCAAGAAATAGCTACAAGTATGACCATATCTGTTACTAGTTTGTGATTCTGCCGTCAAACGTCGCCTGAAATACTTATCGAGAACACGCTTCAAGATTTGTGTGTTCGCCAAGCTCAGACATACAAGATGCACCTCGCTGAGTGAGAAAGTTCCGGCATCTGCCGAGTAAATTTCAGCCTCTGTGAATTTCAGGTCACACGTTTGGAATTTGACTTCCGACTCTCACCCTCCTCCTCGTCATTCAGCACAATGGTCAAAATCACTCATTTCTCTGCCGCTATTGCCTCCCTTCTATCCCTCACTGTTGTCTCCGGTCTCGAGATAACCAACCCGGGAGGTCCAGACCTGTGGTGGGGTGAGCCTTCTTTCTCAAGCTCCTTGCGCGAAACTGACCTTGAATACAGTTGCTCAGTCTATCAACACCTTGGCATGGACATGTAACGACCCTCAGGCGAAGCCTCAATATACCATTGTGTAGGTCTTTGAACCGAAATATCAGACCACCTTCTAAATCTTTTCCAGGTTGGCCAATCCAGATCCCAAAATCCTGACTGCTCCTCAAGCAATGTTGGCAATTTTACCATCTCGTTAACTCCAGCTCACTCTTTATAGTATTGCTATTGAGAACAACTTTGACTGTTCCAAGACCATCACCGCTGACCAGATTGGGACATTTGTCGGACCAAATTTCACCGTCCAGCTTGCAAACATTCTGAATCAAACAGACGTACGCCAATTCTATTCCGTAGAAGATCTGTTAATGACGTTTTTCCAGGTTTATGCTGAATCTCAGCCATTTGAGATCAAGCCAGTCGGTGCGTTGTACCCGACTTCGACCCCGGCTGTCCAGACCGCCACCGGAACAGTCGCTTCTGCAGCGGCCTCTTCGACCTCGGCAGACACCAGCAAAAATGGTGCATCATCATTGGTGCAGTCATCCAGCATAGGGCTCACTGCTGTTGGTGCCGCCATTCTCGGTCTTGTCCTCTGAACAAACTATTATCCCATCATGATTTCTGTTTCTTGGACAGTTTATGCGAACAATAGGTGTCGGGACTCTTTACCGTCATGTTGGTCGTACACCGGTCTTGTTGTTCCACACTGCTAATGTTGTTTTTGTCACTCTTTTATAATAATACACTCTTTCACATCCTTTTGAGCGACAGCAGTTTTGTTCTTCTCGAGTTCTGCCGACAGTAAGTTCCCTTGGACTATTTGGTTTCTCCGGCATATACCAAGTCGCTGTCCAAGTCGACGTCCAATTCGATGTCTACCATCTTCTTCGACATTTCTACGTTATCGAGCATTCCATCTGTCTTGTTTTGGTCTTCTTCTCTGTCGAGACTTTCGGTCTCGTTGCCTCTCTTTGCTCTGTGTTCTGAAGATTTTTGCACAAAAGGTTTTCTGATTCCTAAGGTTAGGCATGAAAAGCGTATGTAAAGCGTCCCCTGGATCGCCAGTTATCAATTGACCCGTGCGGTGATCGAGCGGACTTGCGCTCTGCAGATCCACAAATAGATCGTCAGTTTCTATGGAGATGGATCTCTCAGGTGTTGGGAATTCATTTTCCATGGCGCCCATGTCATTTTAGCTGTGAAATCGAAGTCATTTGCGTTGTTATTTAACATTTATTCCACTGTCCTCCTTTTCTCTGTTCGATTGATCTTCTTCTATGGGCGTTTAGCGCAGTGGTAGCGCGTATGCTTTGCACAAAAGCGTCTATGTATAAGGTCCAGGGTTCAATCCCCTGAACGTCCAGTTTTTATTGCTTCTTGGACGACTTTGAAGCAAGCAAGAGATCAATTTTGGCCAACTGAGGAGAAAACGACGATTCGTCACTCGACGCTCGGTCTTCTCATCTCGACGTGTCTTCTCAATCGTTATATCCTCAATTCCAATTGGTTTCAAGTCGCGTAGATTGCCTGGGCGACGAGAAATGAGGATGAAACGAAGGGCTGAAAGGAAATATCGATCACGTGTACTGTCCCACGATCTGAGTTCTATTCTTCCATCCAAAGCCTTCAACGTCATCTGCCTCGTTTGACCTCCTATCTCCTTGCCTCATGAGGATTGTTTAGTGCAAGTCTTTCACTTGCGCACAAAATTCTTCGATTCGACCTTTTGCTCGCACTCTCGAAGTTGCATCTCGGAAAGGCACTGGTAATTCGGTCAAGCTCTGTATGAGTAGCAGCAGACGCCACTGAGCCGCCAGAATGCCAGCTTTGAATGGAGCAGCTCAGGTAGACATATATCGACAGAGATTGTGGCGCAGACCCAACAGTGTAGTGAGGCTCTGAAATTAGTATGAATTACTATATCATTCATTCTTATAGAGGTATGACTATTCCTATACACCGATCTCAATGTATCGATGGTATTCAATCACGATAACATGATCGCTCGGCCAAACCTAGGATGATCCCGAACCAAGCTCTCTATAGCATTCCCTACAACCATGCAATCAATGAACTCTAACATAACAATGCAAAAGCAATAAATAGGTCGGGCCATGTAAGCCAACGTGATTCGTGCTTGGCTGCCCTTACGCCACAGATGTTTTCCCACCCAGAAGTCACGGCTCGAGTTCTCAAATCCGTCCAAGGTTACGAGAACAAATTTCTCGGTGTCTGAGCCAGCAGACCAGCAGACCAGCAACCGTGCCGCACCATACTCGCCTTAGAAATGCAATGTAATCCAATTGGTTGAGAGAAGCATGTCAAGAAACTTGAAGAGACCGGCTCCGAACTTGAGAAAAGTCGTACATAAAGTCTTGCGGCTCTTACACAAAAACCTTGGTTGAAAGTCCGAAGAATCCGGCAGCCAACATGAAGGCATAAAAAACGATAAAAGCTGCTAATATTAATAATTCATAGGTTCCTTGCAGCTTCAAAACTGGGAAATACAACAGGTCTTGTACATAGCGAAATTCATAAGTCTGTGACCACTCTATCTGCCGCCTGAAGAAATCTCGACTCCGTCTCCAGCACGGTATCCATCATCCCGAGGAAAAGATCCCATAAAAGGAGTAGCGGGACTAAGGGTCGCTGTCGAACCGCGAGACGAATACGTCAAAGCAGGAGAAACCAGCGGAGGAGAAGACTGTGCAACATCATAGACGTCGGGGTCTGGATAAGTTGAATAGACGTGAAGAGAATCATAGGTCTTGTCAACATTATTCTGATTACTGTTACTGCGGTGTCGAAGCTGAAAATTGTTGCTGTTATTGCTGTCGGGACCATTGGTGTATTGGATGGTTCCATTCATATCGCTGGTGTACAAGTGATTCTTTGTGTTCTTGTTATTCGTGATGCTGCTAATAGAAGTCGTCGATCTGTGCGACGAAGAAGGTGGAATATTGGAATTGCGCATAATATCGGTCGCAACATGTCTGGATTTCGGAATACTCATGCTGTTGTGCTGATAGTGTCGAGATTGCTGAGAAAGATTGCCGTGATGGCTATTTGCAACAGAAGTACTAGTAGTCGATTGCGGAAGAGTCGAAGAGCGAATATGCGCTTGTTGATTCTGAGAAAGCTGGGGATTGCGATTGGAAAGCGAAGCGTGATGCGAAGAAGCATCGACAACAGAAGGCGCTCCTCGAACAGGAGTATTGAAAGGGCGATATGAAGGTTGATTGTACTGATTCTCTTCAACGGGATGCAATGGAATGTTTCGCGACATCGGAGAGACTCGCTGCTGATAAGGATGTTGCTGCTGCTGCCTCTGATTGAATGCTACGGTTGACGCCTGAGTCCTGTATCCTCGAACACCCATATTGATATCCACAGCATCAGGCTGTGGACGCCCAAGATCTAACCTGCTTGGTCGACGATGTTGAGCCTGGCCGTTTCCAGAAGTATGAGCCTGAAGAATGTACTCTTCAGTCGGCGTATAACCGCCTCGAGCCTGAGAGCCACCGAGTCCATTCTGGTGCGAGCCAAAGTCTTCAAGCCCATTACGCATCTGGAGCTGCTCAAGCTGCTGCTGCTGAAGCTGAAGTTGTTGAAGCTTCTGCTGCTGCTGTTGGAGCAAGAGGCGGTTCTGTTGAAGCTCGTTTTCATACTGACGCTCGCCAGGAATGAAAGGAGGAGCACCGACTCTGAGCGAATCGAACAGTCGGGCCATGGCCGGACTTATAGGTGCATCAGTGTTCTGGGGAAGTGAGACTGGTGGAGCAAGTGGCGAATAAGACTGTGGAGCTCTTTGATGAATGGGTTGACCCAGAGAGCCACCGACGACACCGACGTCTCGATATCTAGGAGCCGAAGCGGAATTGGTAGCAAAGTCGAGGTATCCATTGTCGACAGACTCATTACGGACAAGAGTCTCGAGGTTGATGCTGGGAAGACTGGAAATAACAGGGGAAGAATTCGAGGTCGGAAGGAAGCTGGGTGAAGACTCAAGTTGGTCGCGGCCATGAAGGTTGAGAAGAGCTGCTTGAGCGATCGTGATTCGAGCAGGAGACTGGTCACCGTCTCGAAGAGATCGTTCAGTACGCTGAAAGAGGCTTTTGTAAGGAAGAAAATGATTCCAAGGCGATGAAACATACCCTCAAGTCGCGCTGTTCACTCGTATCGGCGAAACGAACAGATATTCTGCTACCAGGGTCATTCCACCCACGTACCATACGTCCATGAAGACGCTCGATGACCTCTTCGGCTCCGGCACGTGTCTCGAGTCTGCATCGAAATCAATTTCCGATGCAACGAGAGATGAATGACTGTTTACCGAACGAAAGCAATGATCCGCGGAGGATTGCTCAACCTTGTCTGGAAGAAACGGCTGCTCTTGATCCTGTTGGGAGATACCAGGGCAGCTAGCGACTGTCAAATGTTTCAGTAAATAGTAATTGAATGGATGAGTGACTCACTGGTTCATCGATGGTCAAAGGCAGCCTGTGTTCGATACGTCAGAACCATTAGACGCGTTAGATGACATTTTTCTTACCCTTCAATGTACAGGTTGGTGCTGTTCGGATCGTGCAACCGCTCCATCTTGATTTTGAACGAGCCGTCACCGACAGACGAGTCTGGATGCTCCGAGAGACAGTCCTGGTCCAACGACGTCGTCGAACCATGAGAATCTCCAGGTTGCCCAGCATGAACGTACGGTGTTCCAGGGATCTTGTGAATTTGCTGGAAAATAATAATAATCGGCGACAGCGAGAAGAGCGAGAAAAAATTTAATACCTTGGAAAAGGTGGGATGGAGATTCCTGAAGCGTCTGAGAGACTGGATGCATTTTTCTGCTGCTTCGATGGTCTCAAACCTGGGATTGCATCAGAGTTTTCGTAACTGAACTAAGCGTATTACTCACAGAACAAAACCATAGCCGCTCTCCTTCTCGCCGACGTGCCTCGTGAAGCTCCGTACACTGCGGATGGTTCCAAATGGCGAAGTCAACTCGAACAATTGGTCCTCGGGATAATGAGGTGGGAGACCGTTGATGTAGACATTTGGAGTTTTAAAGCTGGAATCAGTAGCGCTAGCCTGGGCTTCTGAAGATGGACTCGGGACTGGAGTCTGTGTATGAGAAGAAGAGCGAGAGTCGACAGCAGCTAGGGCTGCAGTATTGGTGGTACAAGGCGACGATGGGTCGATGCAAATGGAAGCTGGATGAATTTCAATTTCTGGGAGAGGAATGTACTGTCTGGTGGGAGCAGAAGGCAAGTTGATAGACTCGTCAACCACTTTGCCATCATCTGATGAGGCATTGGCAGGAGATTCTTCGTGTATTTCGCCGGGCTCTAGGCTGAGAGAACTGAGAAGAATTTCTGCCTGGACGATGCCTGGAGAAGGAGTAGATACTGGGCGAGAATTTGTTGCAAGCGATAGGGAAGAGATTGATTGTGCTACAGAAGGTAAAGTGAATGAAACTGAAGCGGACGACGTTGAGCTCGGAGAACTGTGAGATGATAGCGAGAAATCGTCCTGATTTCTGATAGAAGAATTATCTGAGACTGTTGGAGAAGGAGGAGGACGAGGAGACGCTGCCATCTGCGGCGTTGGCTATAAAATAAAATACAAGGGTGTGATGGGGGTAAGAGTGAAAGAGCGAGTTGGTTCAGCTTGAATTTAACCTTTATTTCGCCCTGTTTTTTGCGCAGATCCATGCTGAGCTTCTTCGGTCCGAATTTCCTAGTCCGCGGACCCATTTTGGGCGAAGCGTCGCTCAAACCGAACAGCGCGTCCGTCACATGATCTGAAAAAGACACCAGAAAGGCTTCATGGTCAGCTCTCTTCGATGTTTCTTACCAAGCTGACCAGCTCTTCAGCTACCACTATCTCTTCTCAATGCAGCTCAAAACAAGCCCATGGTATCCTTATTTCATCCACCGGCGTCAACATTCTGATTCCAAATTTTAGCTGGTCGAGCTCAAAAACGGCGAGACATTCAACGGACATCTCCTCAACTGCGACAATTTCATGAATATCACCCTCCGCGATGTATACCAGACAAACCCTGAAGGTGACCGCTTTTGGAAGCTCAAAGAATGCTATATTCGAGGGAGCACAGTTTGTTTCCTCCCATTATTCCTTTGGCGTTATGCTCAGTCTCTTCAGATAAAATATCTGAGAATACCTGATACGCTACTGGACGTCGTCAAGGATGAACAGAACAGAGCACGAGAAGCTGGTCGTAGTGCTCGAGGAACAGGACGAGGCGGTACGCTGATATTGGATTCCTGCTATTTGGTTTTTGACTGCTTTTTTAGGTCGCGGTGCTCCACCACGAGGTTTGTTCCCGTTATTTCCACT